GTTTTCTAACAACATGAAATATCTTAATGTCCTTGCTAAAGACTGGATAGTATATGCTGAACATACTGAAATAGGAAACTGCTTGGACAATTTAGATCAGGACAAGCGATCCAGGAAGATCTGTGAGTCACCTAGGACAGGTTAGTGCTTACACGTGGGCTGGGTTCAAAGTCTGCAGTCAGTCTGCTGAGCTACTGCTCAAGGTGTCCATAGTTACCACACACTCAAGATTTTTTTTTTTTAACCCTGCAGGCATCGACACCAGTGCACACCAATATCTTCAGAAACTGTGTTGGATTACCACACATTCGGGATATATATGCCCAAAACATGATACAACTGTAAATAAACAAATCTTGACCCGAGTGAGCGAGTATGGTTTTACACCTCTTTTAGCAATATTCAAGCAATATCACGGCGGGGGACACCAGAAATGAGCTTCACACATTGTACCCATGGAGGGAATTGAACCCAGGTCTTCAGTGTGACGAGTGAAAACTTAAACCACTAGGCTACCCCACCGTCCCCTTGACTAGAGTGAGTGAGTGAGTATGGTTTTACGCCGCTTTTAGCAATATTCCAACAATATCACGGCGGGGGACACCAGAAATGGGCTTCACACATTGTACCCATATCGGGAATCGAACCCGGGTCTTCGGCGTGACGAGCTAACGCTTTAACCACTAGGCTACCCGACCACCCCCTTGACTAGAGAATGATTATCTACAAGGATCAATGCCATCAGGTATGCCGAAACACCATCAACCAAGTCACCAAGCCTGACCATTTAGCTTTTTACAATCAGCATAGGTTTTCTGGGGACCAATTGCACCATGAAATCCCCACGGTGCCCCCTTAGAACAGTGAGTGAGTGAGTGAGTGAGTTTGGTTTTACTCCACTTTTAGCAATATTCCAGCAATATCACGGCGGGGGACACCAGAAATGGGCTTCACACATTGTACTCATGTCGGGAATCGAACCCCGGTCTTCGGCCTGACGAGCGAACGCTTTAACCACCAGGCTACCCGACCGCCCCTCCTTCTTACAACAAGCAACAGGGTGCTGACAGCACATTCTTCCCTAGGTCCACATGGGTAGAAAATATAGAAAGACATAGGAGAAACTGTGTTGGTCTACCATACATTCAGAGCACACCGCACCAGCATCTTTAGCTGGAGATGATATCAAACTATTCTTTGAAATCAAGACAATCAAAGTGAGATGAGATGAAAAGGCGTTTTATGTTGAGTTCAAGATTATTGCACATTCATATAGCGACGTGTGTGTGTGCTCTTGCTTGTACTAGTCTGATTTTATGGTGCTAGCCATGCCACATTTTATCCTTAATATCCCACTCAGACACAGCAGACTGACTGAGCCGACTAGCCCCATAATGCTGAGCCCCAGGCACGGTAACGACAAGTACCATCTTTTCACGTCTTTTGATATGACGTGGCCAGAGATCAGTTTCTTACTCATTTTAACCAATGCGACTGTCGTGAGAAAATACTACTATTTGTGTCAAACAGGCGTGACAACCAACAGTTACTTTTATGATCAACACAGCGATATAGTTTAAAGAGCTAATGACACTAACAATTGCGTGAAAACGGTTTACCAGGTCTGTATGCCCCCCCCCCCCCCCCCTTGTCAACCTTCAAACACAGTAGAAAATATTAAACACTTATGCTCTTACGAATGATTTAATGAGTAATAATTTGAACAAAATCCATGCAAAAGTTCCATTCATTTTAATTTTTGTGGCCAGGCAGTGTTTTAGTGAAAGTCCAACAAGGTGAAGGTCGCTTGTCGTCTGCTGCCATACTTTGTATCACATGGTTCTAGTGAGCGTATGGGAATAATGGCTGTGAGATAAGATGCTTAGGTAAAGCCTAACTGACACGATAGAGGAAGAGCAATTAGCATGCTTCCAGGTGGCGACATCAGCAAAATGGTGGGGACATTATCATCCGGAAAATTGTCTTTCAGATGCAGCTGTCTAAAACATATACATGTAAGAAGATCTCAAAGTGGTTACAAATTGCCAAATGTCTTTAAATTGTTAGATGCATGCAACTTTTGGAAATGATGATCAAGTCCTGAAGCAGCGGCTAAAAGCTGATTAAAAGCCACTTTTACTGTGGCCAATATGACATTGGTGATACCGAGACTGACAAACCACAAGCCAATCAATAGACCGATCCACTAATCTACCAACTCGGAACACATTAGCATTCTAAACTCATCCCAATCCAGTCGGCCATTTTTTAATTTCATTTTTTTTATTCAATAGGTATTAGAAGCATGTGTGATTCTTTTCAATGCTGCCTATTTCACTATGAAAGTAAGCCCCCCCCGAGGCTGAAGGGACTCCAGACTAGCTGTCTCGAGGGAATCGCAAATTCTGCCACCATTCGAGCTCGCTAACTTCAAACATTCTCTACTTGAGATTCAGGGCTTTAAATGGAATATCATAAAAAGGGCAAGTGTTTGAGAGGAACCTCGAAATATGCACATGGATCAAAGAAGAGGAGCCAACAGACATGGTCCTTCATGGATGAAGGCAATAATGGACTGCTGGAGCTGGGCATTCTGATTGAAAACAGTAGACAGGAGCAGCAACATCTACTGGTCACCATTGATCAGGTTCAGTGGATGGGACAGCAGATGGGGAATTGGTCTGCCAGAGTCAAGGAGTCCTCCTCCACCTCCACCGTTGAGTACTGTATATTGACTTCTGTGTTATACAGATTACCACTGTCAATGCCACCTGTAACCTTCCCATCCCTCAGATGAGGCGTTATGGTGGTCACTTGGTGCAGGCTCATATGGCTGCAGTGAAGGGGTTAATATCGGAATAAGCTTGTGTTGAAGGATCAGTCCATGTCACCCTGAAACTTTCATCTCTCAGATCAGGCGTTAAATGATCACTTGGTGCAGTCTTTGGACCTGACATGGCTGCAGTGAAGGTTAATGTTCCGAATCTGCTTCAGTTGACGATGTTGCGGCATGTTGATCAAGCTGCTTCCTTATGGGATAGCTTTGGAAGGAAGATGCAACATTGTTGGAGCTTTTCTCCTATCTTCAACACATTTCTCTTGGTGCACAATTATCATGGTGTCACCAATGTCATGTTTGCAGGTCATGGTGGACCAGATCCAGATCACTGCAGCCTGTACTAAGTCTGGACCAGACAAACCATCGTTGCCAGACAACACAATCAATGATCCAGATCACTGCAGCCTATACTAAGTCTGGACCAGGCATGCCAATGGTTGCCCGACAACACAATCAATGATCTAGATCACTGCAGCCTGTACTGAGTCTGGCCCGGGCAAGCCAATGGTTGCCAGACAACACAATCAATGATCCAGATCACTGTAGCCTGTACTGAGTCTGGACCAGACAAACCATGGTTGCCAGACAACACAATCAATGATCTAGATCACTGCAGCCTGTACTGAGTCTGGCCTGGGCAAACCAATGGTTGCCAGACAACACAATCAATGATCCAGATCATTGCAGCCTGTACTAAGTCTGGACCAGACAAACCATGGTTGGCAGACAACACAATCAATGATCCAGATCACTGCAGCCTGTACTTAGTCTTGACCGGGCAAGCCAATGGTTGCCAGACAAGACAATCAATGATCCAGATCACTGCAGCCTGTACTTAGTCTTGACCGGGCAAGCCAATTGTTGCCAGACAACACAATCAATGATCCAGATCATTGCAGCCTGTACTAAGTCTGGACCAGACAAACCATGGTTGCCAGACAACACAATCAATGATCCAGATCACTGCAGCCTGTACTTAGTCTTGACCGGGCAAGCCAATGGTTGCCAGACAACACAATCAATGATCCAGATCATTGCAGCCTGTACTTAGTCTTGACCGGGCAAGCCAATGGTTGCCAGACAACACAATCAATGATCTAGATCACTGCAGCCTGTACTAAGTCTGGACCAGACAAACCATGGTTGGCAGACAACACAATCAATGATCCAGATCACTGCAGCCTGTACTAAGTCTGGACCAGACAAGCCATGGTTTCAGTGATCGAATATCGGATATTGTAGGACAGAAGAACATAGGATAGTGGGCACTGTGAATGTTATGCTATTTATATCCAACCATCTATTAGAGATTCTGTGTGTGCTGGTTGTTGAACAGTTTCTGTAATTTTTCACATGTTTTTACAATGTAATTTATCATATGTATCGCGATACAGGGGTTGTAAATCGATGTCTGCCTCAAATTGGCCTGGAGTATCAGAGTGGGGTATTCATGTTAAACTACAGGATGGCATCTCAGTGGGCTAGCACCGTAAAACTGGCAATAGTCTGGACTAGTAAAACCAGCCACCCACACACACGTCCATGCATACTGTAATGTAAGTGGAATAACCTTGAACGCGACGTTAAACCCCATTTCACCTCACCTTATCCCCAATTTCACCCTGCTGTTAGATGCAAGATATGACTTGGCGATCTGCTGATACTGATTGCTGGACAAGCGCAAACTCATTTAAGACCATCCTCCTTATCTCGCTGGATCCATTCCCGTTGTACTCGCTATCTCAAATTACCTGCCCTTGATTTTGATTAGCCAATTTGATTCGCTACGCTACTCAGTCCAATCAAAATCAAAATGCGAGTTAGAAACCAGCCTCCATGTTGGGTTGGCGATATCAACAACATGGCGGCCAGTACCATATATGACGAATGAGTTTGTGAGAAATTCAACCCTGAAAAAATGAATGTCACACAAAAAATAGCCCTAAAAATCTTTTGGATGGAAAGGATTTCTTCCTGTCCACCTCCCTTACCTTTTCCTTATTCTTGACGTTTTATTGGTCGGTATAACGTTAATGAAAATCAAGGGCAGGTAATTCAAGATCGCAAGAACAACGGGAGAGGATCCAGGGGTTAGCGTAGCTTTACTGAAATGCGAGCCCTGGAGGTACAAAGGATGATTTCTCCACAACTCAGTTCTTACCTTCATGTCTCTTCAGCTTCGGTGACACGACGACAACAGGCTTGGGCTCAATTTTTGGATGGATGAAGTAGTCTGCTTCTTCACCATACAGACGATACAGCTGTTGATGATGCCATGGCATTGAGTCCAGGTCCGAGCTTGTTGCTGATTGGCTCAGATCAACATCTGCATCATACTCTGCTTCCATCTCTCGCATGGGCGATTTGGACAACGTTGGCGACCTTGACACATGAGATCGGTGGCGGCCCCGCTGCTCTGACGGTGGTGTGTGGCAACCGTCATCTGTCCTGCTCTCTCGTGGTGTGCGCCTCTGTTTCGCTGCAGCCTTCCTGTCATCAGCTGTGGGGAAACAGAGTAGCTGTTAGAGTGAGTGAGAAAGTGAGTGAGTGAGTTAGGTTTAACAACTAATATTCCAGCCATATCGTATAGGGGCAACTATACTATTGGGGCTATTTTCACTATTGCGATCGTATTGCAATAGTACCCCACATGATTGCAATAGTATTGCAATAGATGTCAACTATTGAAACTGCGAAGTATTAAACCAATTTCAAGGCTTCATCAATCTATTAGAAATGAACAAAGTATTGCTGACACTGTCAAAGTCAGACATTTCTACTCCCTGTTGCTACTCAAAACAAAGGGAAGTAACTTTAATCGGAATTCGATGTACATTTGATGCACATGGCATGTTTGAAATTCAAACGTAATTTCTGAAGCATAATTTACGTTTTGCTTATAGCTAATTGCAATTATTCAAAATATTGATTCTTATGTATACTATCGAAAAATACCATTGGCATTTTCAAATTTCTATTGATATAGTTGAGTAGAGAAAACAATTACAATACGTTAAAAGTTTGATATATCGTTGCATTCCTAATGTGGACACAAAAAATGGGCTCTACATATTGTACCAATGTGGGAAATCAAACGCAGGTCTCCAGCATGGCAAGTGAAAGCTTTAACAATAGGGCTAACCAAACCCCAGATCAGCTGTTTAAAACAGTGGTAGAGCATTCGCCTGAATAGTGGAAGGTTCAGGTTTCAATCCCCGTCTGCGTCATACCAAAAGATGTTAAAAGATGGTACTTGTTGTTACCCTCCCTGGCGCTCAGCATTATAAGGGGCTAAAACAAGGACTGGTTGGCTGGGAGTCAGTATACTGTGTTTGAGTGGGGTATTTATGTTAAACTGCGGCATGGTATCTCAGTGGGCTAGCACTATAAAATCAGTAATAGTCCGGACTAGTAAAAACAGCCACACAAACACACACACACACGTCCACGCCATCTCTCTATGAGTGCAATAATCTTGGACGCGACTTTTCACTTCACCTAACCTGTTGAAACTTTGAGAAAAGGGTCATCTTCTTTAGAACAAATCTGTATATAATTTATTAATATAGGCTTAAAATAAGCTGTATGGTACAGCATTGAAAAAAAAATGAAAAAAATATTAATAACTTGTCAACTCCCCTGAATTAATTTGCCATGGGTGGTGGAAAATTAAATTTTAAACGGTATACCTGCATAGAATATTATTTTGGTGCATGCCACAATTTTTTTTAAATCCGTCTCTTTAGATTACATGTTCACTTTCTGAAAGGAGACATGAAATTTACAAGTCTACTAAAAAAGATGGCTCATTTATCACAGCAAGCAGCGCCATAGGCTATTGTTAATATTGCACCTGACAAAGCTCCTCACAGGGTTCTCCTGCTGCCTTCACACCTTTCACACTGTAACTCGTCTGAGTGTGACCGAACTGATTCAGGAGAACAGTGCAACAACTACATCACACTGTGTCTTCCCAACACAGGATTTTACAAACAGTCTACCCTGCAGGGCACTCGAAGTTAAAACTCTGAAATATTGCAAACATCAGGGTCTTGTCATAACACCTTATCGTGGATTATTGTGCATTCTTGCTTCAGTATTCTTCGCTGGGTTACCGGAGTTAAGTAGCAACATCGTGGGTCACTGGTGTAGTTGATGGGGACAGTGTTGTGGCTGACAAGGAAATTTGGTTGACATGAGCGCTCCTTCCACTTGTGATATTAGCAATAAGACTGCCGTTGGTTTTTGTTAAAGTAAGGTATTTATGACATGTGTAGCACTAAGGATAGTATTTGTCTTTGTTAAAGTGTGGGACTTATGATATGCGTAGCACTAAGAATGTTGAAAGTCTATGTTAAAGTATGGGATTTATTACATGTGTAGCACGAAGAATGTCGTAAGTCTATGTTAAAGTAAGGGATTATGACATGTGTAGCACTAAGGCTGTCGTAAGTCTATGTTAAAGTAAGGGATTTATTACATGTGTAGCACTAAGGCTGTCGTAAGTCTATGTTAAAGTAAGGGATTTATTACATGTGTAGCACTAAGGCTGTCGTAAGTCTATGTTAAAGTAAGGGATTATGATATGCGTAGTACTAAGGATGTCGTAAGTCTTTGTTAAAGTATGGGATTTATGACATGTGTAGCACTAAGAATGTTGTAAGTCTATGTTAAAGTATGGGATTTATGACATGTGTAGCACTAAGGCTGTCGTAAGTCTATGTTAAAGTATGGGATTTATGACATGTGTAGCACTAAGAATGTTGTAAGTCTATGTTAAAGTATGGGATTTATTACATGTGTAGCACTAAGGCTGTCGTAAGTCTATGTTTAAGTGTGCGATTTACGACATGCGTAGCACTAAGGATGCCATTGGGCTTTGATAAAGTGTGGGATTTATGATGTGCGTAGCACTAAGGCTGCCGTAAGTCTATGTTAAAGTATGGGATTTACGACAGGCGTAGCACTAAGGCTGTTGTAAGTCTATGTAAAAGTATGGGAGTTATGATGTAGAGGGGAATGTCCAAGTAACTCTCCATTCCTTAAAAATAATGGAGCAGAGGCCCCTTTATTTTTAAGGAATGGAGAGTTACGAGGATAATCCCCTACTTAAAACTCATCCCTACACTTTGACAAAAATATTCTGTAAAATAAACCAGAACTCTTTGTTGTCTGCGTGAATCGACCTTGCGTGATGCACGAGGAATGCGTTCTCTGCCGCTATTGCACGTGCACCATTTACAATGCATGGTACACAGCTCTTCATTATTTCGTTGGGTCCTAAACTAGTATTTATCAGTAGCTTTCACATTGTTAATACATGCTGACGGGTATAATACTTAATAGGAAATATAGAGCCCCGAACACACGATATTTATGTTACCTTATTTGTTTTTTCTCGTCAAAGGTTTATCTAACTGCTATAAATATGAACATTGTCGTGGGTAACCTGCTCTAACACAAAATATATACATATTATTTTGAGCTTTTAAGCAATATGAAAAATTATGAAAATATTTAATAGTTAATTTCACACCATACCTTCATGTGCCACCGTAGCTGAAATTGACAATAAGACGTGTTCAAATCTAACGATGCGGGTTCGAACCCCACTGGCGACACGTTATTATTACAAATTATTCACTTGTAAATAAATGTAAAAAATAGTTCTGTCTGTTCCAAGTGGAAATTAATTCAAATGTTGCTTCAAGATTATGTTCAGTTGACAAGCAACTCTCCATTCCTAAAAAATAATGGAGTGTTCAAACAATGGAATGACGTCACAGATGTGTTTTAAGTGTGTAGCACTAAGTCTGTTGAAAGTCTATGTTAACTCTTTCAACACCAGTCAACCAGAAGCTTTTACTGCTGTGACACCGAGTTCCCCGAGAATCTTGTGTGATATTTGAAGCCAACATTTATCAAAGAAAATATCTGCTTGTAAAACATCTTTGCTACTTCATGTCATACACCATTTGAAAGGTCTAATCCTATTGTTTATAAATATGAAAGTTATGTTTGTCACATTATTTAAATAATGCATTTACAACTTATTTACAACAAAAAGTAAATGAGAAAAAATGTAAGCTAACAGATTCATAATGTCCAGATTAAGGACCAAGGAAGCAAAATATAAGATTTCATAAAATCCACTTACCTATTTCTTTTTTATTTTCATTGTTTACGAAATAAGAAAATTATTTTAAGAAGAATTATAAATAGTATCTGTTTTCACACATTTCCTGATAACAGCGTCTGTCCGCTCAGTCACTCGAAGAAATACCTCCGTTTTTGAAGCTTCGAGTATGACACGTTCGTTGAAGACCGATATATGACACATCGCTAGAATGCTTGTTTTTTCATCTACACGCTCGTAACATCGCCTGGACTCTTTTCGTAGCTATGACATACAACTACATTGGATAAAAATTGGTTTCTAATGACGCTTTATTGCTGAAATCTGCTACAATGTTTTTGACTGGTCAAACTTGAGCACGTGACTTCAGGCAGCCAATCAAATTACAGTTATGGTAACGTCCTCGTGTATGATGAATTTCAGATTGATGAATTTCAGATTTTAACCGAAGATTTTTGTTAAATTGTGTTATTCTGAACATTTTAAGCAGGAAATCGCGAGCTATATTAAAAATATGGAGCTTCGTGGATGTATCGTGATAGGTTAAGAGCTGTGACAAAGTTTTTCCATACATACATCGTGTTCGACCCGAGATGTCATGTGACTAACATCCCACGCGATCGCAGGAAGAGATGGAAATAACTTATATGTAAGTTTGACAACTTTTAGAAATAGTTTTGTTGATTTTATTTATAACTTTGTATACTATATTTAAAGATTTGCTTGAAACGTCTTTATTTTGCTCTTTGACATGTTCGATGTGGACCCGTTGTCAAAATGTGTGTCCGAGAATTTTATTTTTAATAACACTGCGGAAAATAGTGAATCATTTTTTAATCTATTGATGAAAAATGATAAATTGAAATGGAATACGTATTCCAGACATTGTGAAATGTGATAGATTTAATAAATGAATGATATGACAGGTAGGTAATAAAATTATATACTATTTTGAGGTGACTTCAGCTTGGCCGGTCTACGGTGTCTGGGGATTCGAGGCTTCTTGGCCAGCCTACCGGCCTACAGTGTTGAAAGAGTTAAAGTATGCGAGTTATGACATGCTTGGCACTAAGGCTGTTGAAAGTCTAGTTTAAAGTATGGGAGTTATGATGTGTGTAGCACGAAAACAATGAGATACGTTTACAATATACTCTCTCACACTGACCCTTATGTTCCAAGTTATTAACCTACATATTCCTGTAATTATGATTTGTTGTATTCAAAGTGAGTCAGCGCTGGCCTGATGCTGGGAGAGACTGATACAGGATACAGCAGGTCTTCTCTCAACTGAGAATGTGCTCACTCTCACTCACTCATTCACTCTCTCATTCACTTACTCACCCGTCAATCACTTGCTACCCACT